AGAGTCTGGCCTCTAGATCCAATGTGTTTTTTTTTCCAGTGTAAAAGTGATTCCATTGGTTTCCTCTTGAAATTTTCTTTTGTTAGCACCCTTTGAACTTTAAAATGTGACGGAATAAACATCAAAATTTGCAGTTTAGCAAAAGACACTGGAAAAGAAAGTCGCTTGGATCTAGAGTCCGCAGACTCTTGAAAACATTGACAAGAAAAAGTACTCTTGGTTCTATCGGATTTTTGCTTGAATCGAGAACCAAGCCTCTTAATTTAAGCGGATTTCCTTTTGATTCAAGCAAAACTCCGATTGAATCAAGAGTATTTTTTCTTGTCAATGTTTTTAAGAGTCTAGACTCTAGATCCAAGCTTCTTTATTTCCCAGTGATACTTCTGGAACCGGGAAGGTTCGCTTAGGAGAAATGCACTCAGACGCTTACTCATGCCTTTACGAATCCATGTCGCTCATCCGTGAGCAAGGAAATTTCTACGTCGCTGAAGAGTACTCAGGGCGACTCTCTCAGAAATCTTAGTGACTAAAGGAAATATTCTATATTGATAGTGAATCAGAGTGAATTTCCTTACAGTGCTCGGCGTACCTACACTACACAATACGGTGCACACTCCGGCAGGCGCAGTGTAGGCAATTAGCACGTCAGAACGTATGTGTAAAATGGTGTAGTGTTAGAAGTATCTCCAGGATGTGGAAGGCGCTATATCGGGTGCCCGCAAGCACGCCTTACTTGCTCGCAATAGTTTGAATTCGCGGAGTCAGGGAATAAAAGCAGTACTGCCGTGCTAAGGAAGAACGGCATAGGAACATTCGAGAGTTGTCAAATTGCCCCGTATAAAACATGCATTTTTGAGAACGCGAATGCGTATTTTTCCTTGAAATTTTCAGACATTTTAGACGAAGTTGCGAACAAAATTTCTTTTCAATGTTTTCAAGAGTCTTGACTTTAAATCTAAGCTACTTTTTTCCCCCAAAGAATGTCATGTTTGACCGCTGTGATTAACTCGATCCGCTGTGCGCCGCAATGTGGACAGTCATTTCAGAGACCGTGGCCACAAGGAAAAATGGATTGCTGATTTAACAATTAAATTAATAAAAAATGTGTCCGACATGCTTCAGATGTACATTTTACAATAGTGCCATTCTAAGGAAAAACGCCGTCTTTGTAAAATTGTCATTAAAACATGTTAGACACTTAGTTTGACTACAAAATTGTTAAATCAGCAGTTTAATTTTTTCCGTGCAAGTAGTCTATTTTGTGAAACAGTTGGTGGAGGTCATGATTTTTAGGTTCAAAAGATCCAACAAAGGAGGAATTTCAAATCGATGACTGAGGTGCGAAACCACATATCTCTATTGTAGTGTTTCAAAACGTCCGGTTCTATTTTATTTTTTCGTGTAGAAGTGAACTAACTTCAGGGCTTGAAATTGATACGGAATATTCTGCTGTTGGAAATAAAATATCAACGGTTTTCGATGGTTAACGTTGACTAGTTTTTCAAGGACACCACGAAGTATGACGGGAAGTCTGCAACTTCGCAAACGGAGGTACGCGGTTTTACACTTTGGCCATCAAAATGTTTGAGAGTGGACAGAGTTGACAAAAGGGAGAGAGTGAAACCACGATTAAATAAGATCTGGGAAGATTTATGATAGATTAAAAGATCCATAATTTTTTTCACAAGCCTTAACTCTCTGTTATTTAAAAATCAAATAAACAGGGTGTCTGGTTTTTTTTCATTTTGGGAAATCCTGATTTTTCTTGATTTTTGACAGCTAAATCCTGATTTCATCATTTTTCCAAATCCTGATCAAATCTTGATTTTTTGCCGAAAAAAATTAAAATTTCTGCATAAGCGTATGTGAAAGCATAAAAAAATCCGATCAGACAGCCGACTTTTCTCAACTCTTTTACGACTGATTTTTCCTCAAATCCTGATGAAATCGGGATTAAATCCTGATTAACCTCAAATCCTGATAGAATCGGGAAAATCCTGATGCTAGACACCCTGGTATGAGAGCTTCAATAAGTTTCAGCCCCAGAAATTCAAAATTTATCCATTGTGCGCTGCTGGTCCGGGTAAAGTGCCAAGGAATCTGTCCGTCCATGTCTACATGTCACATGTCACACAAAAAAAAGATAAATCGGATTTAATTCGGTCGTACTCCCAGCGCCTTAATTTATTTCAGGTATTTGTAACGGAAATGTTGCATAACGCAACTCAGTTGAGCGTTCACTCAGCTTCAATGTTGGGATGCACCTGGTAAAGTTAGAAATTGATTACGGCTAAACATTTCCATTCGTTATACTATTTTAACGAGGATAATTTTTCGCAGTTAATTGACGAACTTGTAAGTCAAACACCCATTCCTCTTTAATCGAAGCATTTAACCTTGATGAAAAAATTGCGCATTTGCACACACTACATGCTGATAAGTTTGCTGCGCATTGCTATAACTATATTCTGACTAGTCATACTCCACAGTATAAAATCTAAATGCGTAACGCGTAACGTATAACGCGTATCGCATAACGTGTAACGTGTAACGCGCAACGCCTGACGTGCGAGAGCGCTTTGAAGGATTGGACCGCGAAAAAGTCGTTATATCCCCTACTAATCTACTAAATGCTATTTGCGTTGATGAATACTCGTAACAAGTAACAAAACCCAAAACATTTTGTGTTATGCCTACTTTTCAGGTGAATAATTGTCTTTTGTCAATCAGTTATCAGCTATCAGTCGGATAAAACAAATCTCGCACATTTTTTTCTGCAAGCGCGTGAAAAAACGCACGGAGGAAAATTACTCAAACGGCATTCTTCGTAGATGAGAGAGTCTTATCTATATCTATTTAGCATAACATTGGCGTGAATTCTATGCTCACACGAGAAAATGAGGGGCATATTCATGGTCAATTCTCATGTTTTCCTCATCTTGAGAAAGGCGCTGATAGATACGGCTTCGAACTCGTATTTCGACAGTGTGAAGTCTATTTTCCCAGACTAAAAATACTGCATAAGTAGTCACTTCAAGTTGTATATCAAAGCATGTGTTCTCGAATAAGCTGCATTTCTGCCATAGTATCATTGCCAATCTTCTGACAGTTTCTCTTCGATATAGTGCACGGAAAAACATCATGTAAAAATTAAGAGACTGTCTTCACACCCGCGTCAACGTCAACACATGCTTTTGGATGCTTTCCAGCCGCCACGATTTTCCTCTTATCAACTCAACAGTTATAATCGTAATTGTAATTACCTTAAAAAAGCGTACAAGCTTTCTCGCGAGGTTACTTTCTCCCCCAATTTCTGCTAACCAAGGTCTAACCATGGTGCTAGCCATCGCAATGTGGGTCAAACTGCAGTCCCAATCAGACCTAAGTTTGACTGAAGAAGTTGGCCTCCGAAAGAAACTTAAGTTTGCGGGCTGATATTTGAAATTGATAGACAAAGTGATAGACAAAGAAGACATAGGGAGTATGGGTTGAAAAAGCGATCCTATTGGTTGAAATGGTTGATTCCTATGGACTAAGTGAGAAAATTATTGACTAAGTATAAGGTCTCTCGTGAGTTGCCATTAGTTGGTCTATTATCTACCTCTTTTGTCCAATGCAACCACCCGCTTCCACCGATATAATCCCTCTATATCCTTTTTTCGTCTTTGTCTATAGCATTGTCCATCAATTTGAACAATCAGCCAGCTGGTGCTGTTCCGCTAAGGATATGAATCTTGGTTGCTTAGCTTTTTCGAGTTCATCAAGTCAAAGCTAGGCCTTTGTCCGACCCAGATTTGACCAGTTGGCTACCTAGTCAAACTTTTGTTTGATTTAAAACTCCAGCGGGCCGATTATTGAAAGTGATGGACAAAGCTATAGACAAAGATGACAAGAGGGATATGGAGGGAACCTATTGGTGGAAGCTGGTGGTTGCAATGGACAAAGGCAGTAGGTAATAGACTAACAAACGGCAACCCACGAGAGACCCTGAGGTTAGTCCATCATTTTCTCCCTTAGTCTATAAGAATCACACATTTCAACCGATAGGATCGCTCCATACCCCCTATGTCTTCTTTGTCTATAGCTTTGTCTATACATTTCAATAATCAGCCCGCAGATCGGCCAGCGCAGAAATAGAGATTCGTCGTTACGTCAGAAGAACGACGAGTTGTGGTAGTAACCCAATAAATTAGGTTACTAACACAAATGTTGTGGCACTACCCCAACTTGAGTTGGTGCTATCTAGTGTTCTGACTTCCCGGGCGCCATGCGCCAAATGCGCCTAAAAATCGGGCCTTGGCGCCTAAAAATTGGGAGGGGGGGTGGGCCATTGTGGCGCCTAAAAAATTTGACAGATTCAACTCGCAATCGGGAAGCAGCGGTGGCGATGAAGCGCTCTCTATACGCACCGTTCGCAGCATCTCCATGGCCCATATGCAACAATGTAATTTGGCTCTAAATAATAGTAGGTGGATCCTAAAAATTGGGCTCTCCGGCCAAAGTGGATCCTAAAATTTTAGGGGGACGGCAGATCGCTGGTGCTATCACAAGTAATGGAAAAAATCCATATCATTCAACAGATTAGGGTAGCACCGCAATTTTAGGGGATGACCCTAACACATTTTTTGCCCCGAGCAACCTTAAGAACGCATTCCTCGGCTTTCTGAAAGCCCAGGATAGACGATCAAATTCCCGAACCAATTCCGATCAAAGTAGCATCAAAGTGTCGGGAGTCATCAGTCTGAAACTCATTAATTTGCTTCATTTTAAAATGAAAACTTGGCAGAAATGTTTCCTGTGGCAGGAAATGATGAATGGTGGCACTCCATTCTGATCTTACTTTGAACAAATAAGTGCGGCCCGTCAAAATTCGATGGTAGATGGTGACCATCAGTCATCAGCATGTCTACTTTGATCGGAATTGGTTCGGAATTTGATCGTCTATCCAGGGCTAAAGAGCCCCGAATTCTAAAGTAGTTATCCGAAAAACCATTTCTCACCTTGAACCTCGTATTACTCCTCTGCAAACTCTTCGAGGACGCCAAGACTTGCGTCGTGAAAAAACACGGCTAATCCAAAACACTCACAAAAACACACCCAAAATCAACACGAATCCCAGACCAACGGAGCCAGGTCAATCACCCGCGGCACCGCACACCAAACCACATGCGCACCTCTAACACAACGCTGAAGCCGCCGGTCAAGCGCACTTTAAAACCGACATCAAAAACTGCGGAGAATGAGAGTGATTTTGGCGGGAAATTGGGGGAACTTGGGGCACATAGAGCACTTTTCCGCGGCGGTAGATTTGGGCGCGCGGCTGCGTTCTGACTCGGTTCGTGCTGCCAGGCAGACTGACCCGGCGCCCGCTGCTCGGCATCACATTGGCTTCAAGACAAGATCAGCCGGCGCGGCGGTCTCCATCCATAAACTCGCGGAGTTGTCCAATTTCTGACATTCAGAATGACAGGACGTGTTTCAGCGAAAACAGGGCAAAACTCTGTATTCTAGTACACTGGAAAAAAAACCAAATTGGATCTAGGGTTTAGACTCTTGAAAACATTGACAAGAAAAAATACTCTTGATTCAATCGGATTTTTGCTTGAATCAAAACGAAATCCACTTAAATTAAGAGGCTTGCTTCATGATTTAAGCTAGATTCTGATTGAATCAAGAGTAATTTTTCTTGTCGACGTTTTTAAGAGTCTGGACTCTGGATCCAATGTGTTTTTTCCCAGTGTATCCAACTTTTTTTTCAAAGTACATTTTTTAGTATTTCTCTCTCTCTCTCTCCCTCTCTCTCCCTCTCTCTCTCCCCGGACTTAGGGGAAAGCACGCCAAAATCTATGTATTTCTATGAAAAATCAAGATTTCTATCATTCAGAATTCATTTCCTCCGAAAAATCCACAAAATTTGTATATTACAGAGCAGAGGGAAGGGACATTTTTAGAGCCAACCTTCCGTTATCCTCTAAACAGGAAAATCCTTTCCTGATTTGAAATCCTCCACCAGCTCAACTACGATTGATTTGAAATTTTTCAGCATGTTTGATAAGAAACCCCTTCCAAAATTAAGTCTGTATACTGCCGTGCTAAGGAAGAACGCCGTATGAACATTCGAGAGTTGCCAAATTTCCCTCGATAAAATGTGTATTTTTGACGCAATTTGAGCATGTTTTTCCTTGAACTTTTCAGATATTTTGGATTAAATTCCGTACAAAATTGCCTGAAAATTGTAGGAGAAAATATTTAAATTTGCCTAGTAAATTCGGTTTTTATCGAAGACAATTCGGAAACGTCTGAAGGCTGATACGGCGTTTTTCCTTAGCACGGCAGTATAGTAAGATGCTCCAATACTTAACATTCTCTATATATCAACAATGCTTCCTATAACCGTTTGAAGAGGAAATACTTCTTGCGGGGACCGTATTTTCATTCCGTCCCGAGGTCAATTTTTGTAGGTTTTTCCACCACGGGAATTAAAAGAACTACCGCGCACTGAATTCATTACCATTGAGAAGAATATTCGCGCTTTTAAATGACAAGGAAAAAATGGAAAATGCGTCTTTGAAAAGAGCCTCTGTCCACCAAGACAAAGAATCCTGGATGACAACGCCTTGATGCAACTATTCGTGCTCTGTGGATGTCCGCGTTGCATATTCACGAAATTGAAGGCGCTCTGGATTTTTTGACCCGCATCACATTTGGATACTCGCTTGGTGCCGCAATATGAAACTTGAAGTATAGATGCTTTCAACACTGCCGTGCTAAGGAAAAACGCCGTATGAGCATTTAAATGTTGCCAAACTTCCTCTCGGAAAATATTTATTTCTGATGACTTTTATGCATATCTTCCCTTGATCCTTAGATCAAATCAAGAGCAAAATTCTTCAAAAAGTTGGAAGAAAGAATGTATAATATTCCCGAACATTCGAGATTACTGAGAGATTTGGCAGCAACTTTTAATAATAGATTTCAAAAGGTTTTTTTCCTAGCGCCGTGTTTTTACCTTAAATTTTACTACCTCAAAGTTGATAAAAAAAATAGAACACTGTAAAGCGCGCCGACTCGAAATTCACCCCAGGTAATTTGAGCAGCTCACATTAAATGCGCAATCAATGGCTTTGATTCCAACGCATAAGTTTTCAAAGTAGAAAGATGAAAGAACTGATTATGTATAGTCAAAGTCTTAAATGACTACGTGCTTCAATCCGCTTCACTGAATTTCACCGCGAAATCATTAGTGGTGACTCCACTCAATGAAAATACACTTCCGACATCAGAAGCGCGGCGTGCTTCGCGATATATCGATTGACCTGTCATTTAAACCTATGGAAAAGGATCGATAAACAGGGCGTTCGCGACGAACACCTTAACAATCGATTCTTTACCATAGCTTCAAATGGGGAAATATCGATAATCGATCATTCACGCTTCGCCACTATCCGGCATCCATAAACTGTATCGGGATCATTTTTGTCGTAGTTATTTTTTCAGACGCAAAAGGGCGTGTCTACATTCCCAATCGAACTCTTTCTTGCAAGAACCTGTACAAATCTCAGGGCTCAACTTGAGAATGCAGTTATGTCCTTTCTGCAAAAGATTGGACGTTGTCCACGTTAGAATTAGTTTTAACCGCAAAGAAAATTAGCGGATGAAAAAGCTAATTCTGTGACGGCTTAGTGCTCATTTCGTCCCACGCACGACATGAAATTCCACGTGATTAATTAAAACTAAAGTAGCCGGCCTAGGGCAGCCGGCATATTTCAGGGTACTTTTGTAGTACGACATCCATTCATAATCGTAGTCGCACAGTGGAGCGATTCAATGAGTGGTTAGAAGTAGTGTCGAAACTTTAAAAGCTGTATTCTTCGTTTATACTGCCGTGCCAAGGAAAAACGCCGTATGAACCTTCAGGCGTTGCCAAATTTCCTTGGATAAAACACAAATTTTCTGGGTAAACTTATGACTATTGGTATTCCAATTTTTCAGATCATTTTGTTCGCAATATCACCTAAAGTTCCTAAAAATTTCAATGAAAAATGTTCATAATTTTCCTCTAAAATAAACGCGTTATTGAAGAAAATTTGGCAACTCTCGAAGGTTCATACGGCGTTCTTCCTTACCATGGCAGAATACGGAATGCAGACGTTTAAAAATCGTTCCATACAGCACTCCTTTAAATTTTTAACAAGACGAGATAAACGTTCAAATTACCAGTTGTGTCAAACATTTCATGTTTGATTTCTTCCAAAGATTCGTTCTACTGTGAGTCGGTTACCACATGGCTCATTTTGAAGACTGCTCTGAAAACTCGTTTAGCTTCCATTACAAGGCGAATTGGAGCCAAAATAATGTCATATGTTGATATCAAAAGATGTCGCAGCTTTCCCAGACAATGTGTGGTTTGTGTGGGCGTGTGTCTTAATGAAAAATGTTGGATGGAGCATGAATCGTTCTCTACAGGCGGTAAGCGATATTGCCCTATTCAATCGTAAAAGAGATTTTGAGCGTTCACCATGCCAAGCGTAGTGGCCGCTTTTTCCGGTTTTTTATTTTTTTATTTTTTTTTTTTTTTTGAAGCTGTACAGTATCATTGTAGCAAGCTATAATGTTAGCATCCCTGCTTTGCATTATGGGGATTTCCAAAAGGTTTTTTGTCAGTTGTCACACAATTAATTATTAATTTATATACCCGATAGGTTTTTATTCAGAACTGCTTCTTTTTCTCCCTGGTAAAAATTGGCAGTAGAATCTGTGTTCCAAAATACCATAGACCTAAAGCCGCTGTAAGATTTTCAATAGCTTCTGTAGCCGGCTGTACAATTTCTTTTAGCCTTTTATAGCCGATGGCGACTAAGCAACAGCTAGACGATGAAGTTTATGCTAAACGTTACTAAATATGGATACTAGGACTTAGTTAGTTTTTGGACCACCGCTCTCTTTTTGTGCCGCAGTATCTTGATTTATTTTGCGAGGAATGTTTCGTACTTTTCGAGGATGCCTGCCATTCTTAAAATGTTTGGAGCGCCTTCAATTTCTTATGATACTGTGCAATACCTCTGGTGTGAAATAGTTGCTTCAGACGCCGTGGCACGCTGCGGCGCGGCGGGCGGGCAGAGAGCGTGAAACGCGTATTAGCGCCTTCAAACCTAACAGGGATACTTCACGCATTGCGCAATAATGCGTGACGTATCCCTGTTAGGTTTGAAGGCGCCAGTGCGTAGCCGCGCCGCTTTGTGTTAGGCTCTAATATTTAATCTTGCGGAATCAGCGTTTTTCAACTCATGATTTTGAAATGTTTGCACACTCTGTATGGATAATTCTCATTTTAATTGATGAAAAAAAAAATTGTTTAAAAGGAAAGTATAATGTGTGTTTTGTAAATGTCAAGGGAGTTCCGTATCAAACTTAATGATTTCCACAGCACACGAATTTCTACACAATTTCTTATGGCCTTTTATAGCCAATGGCGATAAAGTGTAAAGCCCGGCGATAGGAACTACAGCCCGACTGTATACTTTTTTGTAGCTTCGTATAGCCCGGCTATATGATTTGCTCCGCTTTCTATAGCCAGCTATATGATTTTCAATAGCCTTCTTTAGTCGGCTATGAGAACTCCTATGGTATTTTGAAACGCAGCTCCTATCGCCAATTTTTACCAGGGCTTGCTTTTTCTATGTAAAAGTTCTATAATTTGTCTGGTTTTTTGAGAGCTTTTCTTAAACTTGGGCGGCTTCTCCTTCGGAAAAGAATACCGCGAATTCGTTTTACACGAGGTATTTTACATTGCACCTCATGGACGTATCTAAGGACCGGGAAACATTCGTCTTAAGCAGCATTTCGTCTTAACCGTAGTTAAACTAAGAGAGCTTTTACTGTATCTATTTTTGAAAATCCATAATATTACCAGACATCCTCCTTAATTCGGTAAGAGACGAGCAACTCAAATGAAAATTGAATACTCAGGAATCAAAAATAGTGCAAAGGAACTCTTTACTTATTCCTATCCGAAACACGATCTATGTTTAAAAAATATCGCAAAAATTGACAGCGTGTGATCAAGAGCAACATCTCATCGCGAATTGAGCAATCACACTCACTGCCTCTCCCTCCCCCCCCCCCCCCTTCACACATTTAATCGCGAGCACAGCCGGCCTCTTACATGCTTTTATTCTCTCGCGTCCGATTTTTTTTTTTATTATTCCCCGTGGATAAGCGTGAACGATCGATTATCTATACCTCCCCATTTGAAGGTATGGTAAAGAATCGATTATCAAAGTGTTCGTCGCGAGCACCCTGACTATCGATCCTTTCCCATAGGTTTAAATGGTAGACAGATCGACGTATCGCAAAGTACGCCA